AATGACTATGTAAAGATACTGGCTGGTCATTTGTTCTTTCAGTGATCAACTATATATTGAGTATCTCTCTATCCATTAAGCCTGTGCTAGGAAACTGGGATTTTTGGAAATGAACTTAAATCCTGTATGGTCTCTGTCTTCATAGAACTTAAGAGTCTAGTTAGGGAAGATAGACATGGTTCGAACAACCACTCAAACTAGTATAAAATTGCAACTATGCAGTGCGATGAAAGGCTTAATAGGGGATTTGACAAGGAGCTTAAGAAAGGCTTCCTGAAGGAAATAACATAGTTGAGATCTAAACACCAAGTAGGAATTCAAGCAAAATGAGGAGGGGAAGGTTATCAGGCTGAGAAGACAACTGCATGAAGACCCCTGTGGGCAAGAGTATGGCAAATATAAGAGCCTGGGAGAAGGCAAGAGTGCTGGGATTTAGGTGGTGAAGGAGAACAAGATAAAAGGGGAGGCTGGAAAAACATTTTCAGGTAAGATCATGAAGGGACTTGGCTTTGTAGAGAACTTTGTCTTATACAAATTGAAAACATTTAAGGGTTTTAATACTTCCTATATTGCAGTACCTAAGGGCATGCCTTGGTCCAGTGCAGAGGTAGTGGAAAAAGGAGGATGGAATAAATTCAAGAGATATTTAGAAGGTAAAGTCAAAAGAATTTGGAGTTGGATAGGATATAGGGAGTGAGGGAGGAAGAGTCATTGCTAGTTTTCTGACTTCACACATTGGTATGTAATGGTTCCATTGAGACAGGCAACAGCACAGGAGAGCAGGTATGGTGGAGGGAAATTATGAGCTGGGCCTCAGGCATACTGGGTTTGAGATACCTTTGTGACATCCAGAGGATATGTAAGAAGCTAAATGTATTAATCTAGGTCTTAGAGGTACATCTGAAGATGTAATTTGTAAGCCTTCTAGGTAGAGATGATTGGAGCCATTGGTGTAGATGAAATCATCTAGGGAGGCTGTGTTTGACTAAATATGAAATGACAGTGGGATAATTTTCTTCCTTCAACATATGAAGAGATAGCTACTGATTTATTTGTGTCTAAATGTCTTGAAATGATTCAAAACAGAATTCCAATCTTCTCAAGTGACCATTCACATTTATCTACCTAGCAATAGGTACCTGAAAATGTCAGAAATTTCAAGAGCCCAGTAAAAGTAAGGTTACAGGAGAGAATAGGCTTGCTATGTTATGAAGTTGAGAAGAGAGTAAAAAAATCAAACCTAAATCCCTCTTTATTTGACTGGGCTAAAGCCACGGCATGAATCAAATCAGCCCAACAACACATTATACTGCTTTGAATTGGGTTAAAGTAAAAAAAAAAAAAAAAAATTCATTTTGTTAGGAAATTTGTCAAATCATATAGACAAAAAGCTACAATCAAACAGAACTCTCTGGGTTGTCTTATTTCCCTGCTAGGAACAAAATCTACTTTTTTTTTAAGATTTTATTTTTTTATTTATTCATTTGAGAGAGCGAGAATGAGAGAGAGAGAGAGAGAGAGCACATGAGCGGGGGAGGGTCAGAGGGAGAAGCAGACTCCCCGCTGAGCAGGGAGCCCGACGCGGGACTCGATCCCAGGACTCCAGGATCACGACCTGAGCCGAAGGCAGTCGCCCAATCGACTGAGCCACCCAGGCGCCCCACACAAAATCTACTTTTGTGCATTGTTCACATTTATTAGTAGTGAATTCAAATACTAGTTGCTTATCCTACCATGTAGTATATTAGATTAAAGTTCAGTAGAAAGTATTTGACCTGGAAGTTTCACCCTGGATGAGTCTAGAATTTGGGAGATTTGTTCTTGGGAAGCATTCCTTGAATGTAGAATAAACAGGGCTGTGATTAGTAGGTTCTCAGTATGTGCGTGTTGGAAAGATTATGCATTTCTTATGAATTACTAAGCATCAACTGCAAAGTACAGAATATTTAAATGTAAAAATCAATATTTTAAAAATTCTTTAGTTATTGTGCAGTACAAATCACAAAATTTATTGACAAAAAATATAATTGTAGATTAGTCCTTAACATCACAGTAGCTATGATATTGAGCAAAATATTGTATGCTATTTTAACCCTTAGATTGTCTTCTGGCCCTGATTTTAGTTGACTCAGTGATTTAGTTGACTCTCAACAGAAAGCTCTGCTCATACCTGGATACCGGCGCAAGCTCTTCAGAATGCCAATGGGAAGTGTTTCTGCTAAACTCCAGGTTTTATGCGGCAAAAATTCTAATAAAGAAATTGTTCACAAGAAGTTTAAAAAATAGGAAGGAGAGAAAACAAGGGCTTAGCTCATTCATAAACTAGAGTACTCATTTCTAAAATCTGAAATTTGGCATTCAGGTGGCTAAATGACAGACCTTGGCTTGTGACCTTTTTTCCTGTGGCTTGTTAGGTTGTTCCAGGAATTGGAATATGATACTTTCCCTCAGTTAAGGACTCTACACCTTCCAGGAGGGGAAGGCACTAATGTAGTGGGATTGGCTGCCATGCATGCTGAGAAGTAGCCTCCAGTGGTGTCTGTAAGCATGGGTTTCGCTCGATGCGTAGCTTGGATTTATTACTGATCAGCTCTTGAGTACTCCAAGTGGAGCAGACATTTCCCTACCTGAGAAAGGCTTTGCTCCTGACATTGTTGGATCAGGTCTCACTAGATCATCTGTGTGTGCTCTGCCTGTCTGCTGATCTGTGTGCAGCCACTCACTTTGCTACCAAACAGACTGTGGACTCAGGTGATAAGAAAAAGCAAACATCTGCCTAAACTGAATCTTGATCCCGGCAATTCGAAGCTGCACAAAATTGAGCAAGTACCTTAACCTCTCTATAACACATTTTTCCCACTTAAATAATAGGGGTATTCATAGAACTCATCTCACAGCATAGTTGTGAGGATTAAAAATGACTAAATGCACGTAAAGTACGCAGAACAATAGTGTTTGGTGTTGTTGCTGTTATTATTATTTAGTTCATGCTAAATTTGGAGCCCTAATCAGCATTTATTCATAGTCATCATAAGTGTCTTTTTGCACTCTACGTTAGTAAGCATGGAACTCCAACAATGCAATGCATTTCACTTGGAAAGAAAAATCCTGTAATTGGCCTCTTTCCAAATCTTTCTTCAGTGTAATCACAGAAGCTCCTCTCTCTTCCTTCCTTCCTCCTACACTTGGTCTTACCCTGAATACCCCATTCCCATCCCTTCTGTCTTGAACTCTTCCACGCTCTACCTCCTCCACTGTGTGCTAGACCTATTACAGAAGTAATGATTTTTAGAGGGCAGTGTGTGGTATGTGTGAGTGTGTATGTGTAATATAAAGAACAAAGTTGTTTTATGCAAACATTAAGGCAATTATATCTTACACAGTGTCATTGTTGTAGCTTTTATAATTAGTGGAACCCTTGGAAGGATTGTTGTGACCATCAGCCAGGATACCAAATTTCAGAGAGTGGGAAGGTGCAGTACTGCCTCCAGGATCCAACTTAACACAGTCTGAAATTATCATTCCTTTCTAACTACATCCTTTTTATTCTAATTATTATGCTTTTGCATTGATGTCTGAAGTGCTCATCCTGTAATAATGATTTTATAAGAAAGGAGCCTATGAATGAAGGAGAGGTGTTTCTTTTCCTTAAAATGTTTTTATTTTTTTCTTTCAAAAGTAGTTCTAATTGTGGGTAAATAAATATATTTAATGTAAACATATAAAAAATAAAGCTTCTCTTGTGTCCTCACTTTAAGTCAAATAACTTTCTGTTGACTAAGTCAAGTGCAATTATTGTGTTCTTCATTGTTCTGTGTTCATGTGTTCATGTGTTCTGTTTGGACATAATTCAGTGTGAGACTTGGTCTGTTCTTTCTCATGGTGAATTTTATGTTTGAGGTGCTTTCTGCAGACAGTTCACTATAGACTGCTGGATGTGACTGTTGGTTTCATTTCAGTGATTTTGACAAAACTGTGTTTAGAAGTCAGGTGCAAGGTGGATATTTAAATTTTTGTAGAGAAGTATGTAGCCTTAGCAGTGGATCTAAGATTTGCTCTGCTCAGCACTGTGCTTTGAAGGCATGTTTCTCCATTTCATCACAGAATTTCTGAGAGAAAGGGAAATCTTTCTGTCTTCAGTTGTGCTGCTTGTTACTTCAAGAGAAGCCTTTCTGAAATGGCAGCTTTGGAAGTATCCCCTGGATTGATTGCATAGGGGGTTGCCAAGGACTGAAAAGGTCTAGTTCTAAATGGATTAAAACAAGAAACATTACTTTGTATATACCCTTAGGCATAATTAATTCACTTCAAATATTGATCACATTATATAAAATATGTCATTTTTTTTCTCTTCTCTAGACAGGAACATTCCCTCTATCTTAAAATGTAATAAGCATGTGGTCATTTGTAATGTGTCTTATTATGATTCCAGTCTTATTATCCTAGCTTCATTTTAAAAAATTTTAATCAGTAGGAGTGTCTGGATGGCTCAGTTGGTTAAGTGTCTGCCTTAGGCTCAGGTCATGATCTCAGGGTCCTGGGATCGAGCCCCGAGTTGGGCTCCCTGCTCAGTGGGGAGTCTGCTTCTCCCTCTTCCCCTCCCCCTGCTTGGGCTCTCTTTCTCTCTCTCTCTCTCTTTCTCTCTCTCTCTCACATGCTCTCTCATAAATAAATAAATAAATAAATAAATAAATAAATAAATAAATAAATAAAATCTCAAAAAAATTTTAATGAGTTGAAGAGTAACTTCACCAACCATGTAGTATCTTTCTACTCAAGAGCACTACCTAAGAGAAGAGGTGATACTGAGTTACTGCTTCTGGATGCGCTTCGTGTTGGTTCCCTGTTGGAACATCAGGTTTTAGACCCAGGACTATAAAAAACAGAGGGGACTTGAAATACTTCAGAGCTGAATTTCAGCTGAAGCTATTGTTAATTCCTCAAACATTTTATTTTACTCACCAGCACAAGAAATAACCAGCTCATTTTGTGCCTTCCAGGTATATACATTTCAACCAAATAGAAACGCTACAGCCAGAGACATTTGGAGACCTTCTGAAATTAGAGCGACTGTAAGTGTTGACTCTCTAGACGTCCTTTGCTTCTGCTTTACTTCTTCTGTTTATACAATGTATTGACTGCCCTGGAGATCAGGTGTAAGCCTAAGAAGCAAAGTCTGCACCTTTGTACTATAAGTTAGAGTTACTGTAAGCCATTCTATAGTTTGAAATCAATGGAGAAAAGACGAGTAGCCCAATTAAAAATAGGACAAAAGCAATGAGCATTTCAAGGAGGTAAAACTACTTTGCAAACTTATGGCAGAATCTACCACAATTAACCATACACATCCCCTATGACCTATCCATCAGTTCCACTTCTAGTTATAGACACAGCAGACGTGCACATGTATGCATGTGCACCAGAGTGTGTTCTAGGGTGTTTATGGCAGCATCACTTCTAACAGCTCCACTGTAGAGCTACTCAAGCATCCAACAACAAAAGAAGAGAAATAAGTTGCTGCATGTTCATACAACAGAAGACCCTACAGCACATACGAATCTCAGAAACATTTTGAGCAAAAAAAATCCAAACATTGAAAATTGCATAGTTTGATTTTGTTTTTTGAATTCAGAAACTGTAGTAACATGTGTAATAGCTAGAAGTTAGACAGTGGTTACCTTTGGAGAGAAGGAGGTGATAGGGAACAGCAGGAGGGAGCTTCTGCAGTCCTGGCAGTTTTGGCTTTTTCTGTTTTTCCCAGCTGCATTCACTTTCAGGAAAGTCATCATGCTTATAGCATGATGTGTGTACTTTTCTAGATGAATGTTATATTTAATAAGCTCATTAAATAAGAATGACAAACCAGAAGGACACTTGGACAGCCTCCTTTTGTGTTGTCTTTTATTGGATGAAAATACTTTATCCCTTCACTTCCTCGATTACATTATATTAACAAATTAACTGTGATTTTAGCAGAAGATACAGATTTTTTTTTAAAGATTTTATTTATTTATTGGAGAGAGAGAATGAGAGAGAGAGAGCATGAGAGGGGGGAGGGTCAGAGGGAGAAGCAGACTCCCTGCCGAGCAGGGAGCCTGATGCGGGACTCGATCCAGGGACTCCAGGATCATGACCTGAGCCAAAGGCAGTCGCTTAACCAACTGAGCCACCCAGGCGCCCCCAGATTTTTTTTATGAAGAGAAAGAAAGTGCATAATGATACATCATTCTAAACTTAATCATGAATCAGTTTGAATTAAAATTTGAAAAGAAATTGTAATTAGGAGTCTGTAGGTTTTGAAAATGATGCCCTTTCATATTGATACACGAAATAGACCAGTAAAATTAAAAGATATAAAGAGCTAATCAACCACTTTCCCATGCCATCACTCCAAACTTATCTGCATATAGAAGTATGGACACTGTAATGAATAAAATTGCATTGTTTAGATTTGTGTGCTTGCTTTGCTGAAGGCATGTAATGGAGGAGGGAACTATACCCATTTCCTGCTCCACCAGCCTTGAGCAGTGAGTTCCACCTTTGGCAAATTCAAGACTTAACATTACGATGACTAATAAGTTCAAAGAACTTAAGCCACTGACTTTAATGTTGGGGAAAGTTTTGCTGATGAATAAGCATTGCTTTCCTCCATTGAAAACTGGGAAGGGGAGATTCCTGCTCCCCAAAGGAGAGCGCCAATGGCAGTGATGGCATCTCCTACCTTTTGGAGGAGGCTGTTATCTTAGGATCCATGAAGGAGTAGGAAACTGACCACAAAAAAAGGCTTTAACTTCTCATTTCCTCCCTATTATGTAAATAAAAACTATATATACATATTTCTTGAAAGATTTCTGAATATATTAATCACAACGTGTTTTTGTTATGTTTCTCTTTTTTTAGTTCTTTGAATTCTCCTGCTTCTTCTGGAGTTGGTTTTTCTTTGTTTTGTCTTGTTCTTTCTTTGCCATGGTCCTGATTAAGCTCCTGTGCCTTGTGATCCTTGGTATTTATACTTGAAAATATTGGGTTGGAGGTCTAAGTGGCTCCTGTTCCCTTGTAGGTATGTCCGTTTTCTTCCAAAATTTTCCCATTAGAGGGAATTTTAGTTTGGACAGTTGGGTCGGAAAATGGCAGATTTCTCCGAGAAAATACTAGAATGTGAAAGGAAAGGTTTCCTCTTCAGTTGCTGCTCCGCACAAAATCTGTTACTTTTCTTTGTCAATTTTTAAAATTTCTTTAGAGAAAAACCTGTAAAAATAATAAGAAATATATATATGTAATTTTTTTTTCCTCTTAGCATTTAGCAGCAGCTACAAATTAATTACATTTCTCCATCCACATGTTCAGTAAACCCCATTTCCCATCCTGTCCCTCTACTCCGTTTGGTGTCTTGGGTCCCAAACAATCAGATTGTTCCTGCTTCATATATTCTCTGGGCTTCTGCTTTTTCTGTTTCATCTTCCAACCCTCTTCCATACATTTTGTATGTTTCCAGAGTTCACTGAAATCTCTTATTTGTTGATGACCTTATGCATTCTGTCCTCTTGATTGTTATGGGTTTATTTATTGTATTGAACATCTGGGCTATTTCAGTTGACTTCTGAAAGAGAATGAGGCAAATTTGCATGCCTCGTTGACTATTTTGAGTAAGAATTCTTCTCTCTCTAACTTTGAAGTATGTTTGTTGAAATAATATTTTAAATATTAAAATTAAATTATTTTAATTAAGGTATTTCTCAATCTATACAAATTCAGCATGACTTTGTAACCACACATCCTCAAGTGATGTACATTCAGCAAAGCAGCAACAGTATCTAGAATAGTTCTTTACTTATAGGCTTTGATAAAAGCCCTCATGTATTGTATTCATAAATATCAACCCCTACCACTTGTGTGGAATGTTCTTTTCACTGGATGCATGATGCCAATACAAGCCAGTGAAGACCTGCATCTTCATCTTTCCTATGAAGAGAAGAATTAATTTGAAAATCCTGGCCCTTTACCAAACTTAGATTTTTCTCCAGTCAATAAGCCTTATCGCTAAACAATCAATCATAAACTATTTATTATTACATCACCAAGCAAAAGAATCTATACACTTTTGGTGAAACCACCTGGGTTAAAATGTTCAAGCTGAAAATTTAGAGCTTGATGCACAGGCAGAAAATTGCAGTAATGCCTGTTAAAGTATACAAAATTCTGACTTTTTGACTAATAATTTGTGGTTGGTATCAAAGAACCTGCTAACTATGCCATTTCTCCCCAGTGCCACTTGCAAACTGTAAAGTGGTGAGACTATGGACATGCTTTATAAAGCTGGATCCCTGTATTTATTTTTTATATGCTGACTGAACTCAGCAAGCTATAGTTTGTATATTGCATGGTTTTTCTTTTAGAATCTTTAATGAATCTCTCTTTAAAAAATGGGAAAAATAGGGCACCTGGGTGGCTCAGTCGTTAAGCATCTGCCTTCGGCTCAGGTCATGATCCCAGTGTCCTGGGATCGAGCCCCACGTCCGGCTCCCTGCTCAGCGGGAAGCTTACTTCTCCCTCTCTCTCTATCCCTCCCCCTGCTTGTGCTCTTTCTTTCTCAAATAAATTTTTAAAAATCTTAAAAAAAAAAAAAGGGAAAAATATATCAAGAGGAAGAAAACTTTGGTATTCTGTAGCCATAAAGAACATTCATGGTGACTAAGAATACATTTAGTTTTATTGGTTTGAGGAGAATACCAGCTTGAAACAACATCCCATGGGATGCTTTATGGAGCAGCAGGGACTGGCTTTGAGTCAACCAGCCTGGAAATGTCTTCTTTATCAGGCATGCACCTCACTACACGAAGGTTCTTTCAAGAAGCTTTCTCAAAGTATAGGATCTGAATATGAGGTTTTCTCTTCTTCTTAGAAGTCTCTTGGATTTCCAGTGTATATATCTTGAAATGCTAACCTAAAGTTCAGGCAGAAGATATGCTTTTCTCTCCTCAGAACATTAATGTTGAAAAAACTCATGCATGCCTGGTTTCTTTGATAACTTGTATATTTCTGTCACAAGAAAGAGATCAGTCTTTGTATCAATTTCAGTGCAATGGATACTGCTAATTTTCTTTTTAACCAAATATCTTTGACAGAAAACATTAGCAGCAAATAATTATTATATGAACTTTCCAATACAGGAAGAGGTGCTTTTTAGGTCTTGTTGGGAGTAAAGCAATCAAAGTGATACTTCTACAAGCAGAATTCAACAAATAGTCAGCAGAAGCATTTTGAAGATTAACTTCACAGAACTTGGAAAGAAGAAAGAGAAAAAAGGAAGCATAGGCATGCATTTTTGCACCCCTGCTGAAGAGGACCACAGAAATACTACTACTGTTTTAAAGTTGTCACTGACATAGTAATCTAGAAGATAAATAATAACTATTATAATAATAAGCTCATTTTATGGACAGAAGAATTGAGGTTTAGAGAGATTAATCTACTTGAAAACAAATAGTTATAGAAATGACAAGTAGCAATAGTATCTGATTTGGGAACCCCAATAATATGTATGATATAAACTAATATTGAAATAACATTAATTTGGACATTTTGTCACCGTACAAAATGAAAGAAAATTTTTGCCAATGATTGTTCAAGATTTACATACCTTGCTTCAAAATCTGTGGTGATGACAATGTTATGCTTTTTTCTTGATTTGTTTTGCCTGTTAAACAATTCTGGTCTACTTGGCTTGGAAAATAGATAACATCTTTCAATCTCTGGTTATTGGTGTAATTTCCAGCCTTTTAAATATGTTAAGAGATGATCAGCAGCATTTTTACTGTTATCACCCTGGACTCTACTAGTTGTAAAATAGTGAAATAAGCTTGTAGTCCAGCAAAAAAGCACATGAATAAGTTATCCAAATTATGTGGCTTTCCCCGAGGTTCAGCTGCAATGTACTACAAGCTACTTCTTCATTATTAAATTCTATTCCAATATCTCCTGAGATATGGATATGGCTTAGGACTTGTGGGGAATGAGAATTACTGTGTGACTTCTGTCTGTACACCTATCTTAACCTAACTATTCACTGTTTCTTCTCTAGTCATTGCTTCTGAGTTTGGTGAATTGGGTGGAGCTGGGGATAATGGGTATAAGGAACTAAAATAGTAAGGACCAGGAAAAATTATATCTACTCAGATGTGCATCAAATTCCAAAGCCATAAAAATATTTTGACTCCTGCTGACACCCCATTACCTTAATCCTTAGTGGATAATACAATAGTTAAAATTAAGCTAAAACCATACATTGCTAGGAAAACATGGTCAGATAATCTTATTTAATTTTGAGATGGGGCACTGGTCATGAATTAGGACTCAGAGGGAGGCTGGATGTAGCTAATTGTTAACATTTTCTACACATTATTTGGTTATTTATGCTCATAATTAGGCTCAAAACCACAGTCTCTAGAAATAAATGGCATGGAGCTTTCCTCTGTGTCTCAGACTACTGTTATGTCGTCTCTTCATACATGTGCTCTTTGTTGAATATGCGTTCAGCGGTGCTAATGAGCAGATGAGCCCTAGCTAGTTATTTGCTAGTCATAGTTTCTCTCGTCACAGTGGGAAGAAGTGGTATGGCCAGGGCAGCGCTCAGGGAGCCCAAACCAGTGCAGGACCGACCAGGTGGAAGGAGGGGTAGAGATACTGTGGCCTGGGCCTCCTCCATGAGCAACAGAGCCTGGGGATGTGCTTCTCCGTGATCTGCCTGGAGTGGGGAACGTGCGCATGGACTTGAAAGGGAACAGGCAAATGGTTGGCTGAGCCAGGGACCACAGCAGCACCAAATGGAACTGTCTTTTAGCAAAACTGTTGCTGGCCAGTAAGTGAAAATAGACAAAGGGTTGCCATCTGCAGGATCCAGTTATTCATGGTTCTCTTGCAGGCTGCTGCGGTCATACATTATTGTGCCATTCTTTTTAATGAATACATCCTCTACCTTGATTTCCTGTGTGTTTAGACTTATTTCTGTGATTTTTATTCTTAGCATTTGTAATCTCTAACTAAATAAAACCAAAAATTAAAAAAACCATGGATGAGAATACACATGCATGTAAATTTTAAGACTGTGCTTGCATAAATGACACTGTTTTGTATTTGCCCTCTCTCACACTGAAATACTTTTTAAAAAAATGTATTTGGATTCACAATTCCAATTTTTTTTTTTAAAGTCTCCCAAAGCATCATTACTGTGTTGTGATTCAAAGTTAGCTTTTGTTTTTCAGGTTTTTGCATAACAACAAATTATCTAAAATCCCGGCTGGGAGCTTTTCTCATCTGGATTCATTAAAGAGACTGTAAGTGAAAGCAAGCGCACAGACACAAAAACCTTATGATTTTCCCCCAAATAAATAAATCCCAAGCAATGATTTGCCTTTGTCTCCTTTGGCCGTGGAAAATCATTGCAATTCTAACGTGTAAGGGAGAAAATGGTTTCATTAACCGTGGAGCGATAGAGGACGCAGTCTACTGAGCTTTCATGTATTCTCTTAGAAGTGACATTCAAAAGGAATATTGAAGATAGAAGTTTCCTCGGTTCTCAGTAATTTCCTTGCTGGTCAAATCTAAAGGCTCCCAAGACTTCCTTTTCCTTTAACTTTTATTTAAAAAGAGATGTGAGAAGTTCTGAAGAAAGTCTAACTCCTCCGGCCAGGCTTCAGAAGTTTTCCCTTGTTGCACATATGGTTACTGGTAGAGTTCATTTCTTCCCACACTAAACAATTCAGAGCAAACCTCCCAATCCTGTTTGAGCCTCCAGCTGCCTCGCTTTTCTCTCTGCCTATGTGAATAACTCGCCTTTACCCCGATCTGTCTCTTCATCCTGATCTCTGGGTATATGTCTGCATTGTTGATGGATTTGGGGTTGTTGTTTTTTCCGTCCGTAAGTCCCAGTTATCAGATAAAAGTCCAATGTCCTGCTTCCCAGAGCTAGTTGGAGGGCACGGAGGGGAAAAATTACAAAGGTGTTCATCTCTCAGCTGTCTTGGAGGTCACGTTGTTGCTGGTGTCTTTCTGGTGTGATGTGCCCAGGTCCAGGTCCATGGGCGAGGGAGTGTTAAGATTAAGTAGATATCAGAACATGGGGGGAAATAAATTTGTGTGGAAATAACGCTTGGAATCATTGTGTTTCAAGGATCATGAATAATCAGGAGGACCATTCATCCAGCCCCAGTCCATCTTGTCAAGTCATTTTCTACTTTCATTGCAGTTCTCACAGCAGGTGCTGCCTTACCGTCTTTTCTCCTCCGGCTGTGCTCTTTGTACTCAGACGCACAACTGCTTGATGATTCTCTTTTTCTGTCAAAATTTCCTTACTTCTCGGAACTGGTTGCACCATAGCCATTTGGAGTAGTATGTGCATCGATTCTTGTTCGTTGTTATAAAAGACTTTATTTTTTAGAGTAGTTTTAGGTTCGCAGAAAGTACTGAGACTTCCCACATACCCTCTTTTCCTACACAGCCTCCCCCGCGATCATCCTCCACTGGAGTGGTACCTTTGTTAAAATTTATACCCCATAATCACTCAAAGTCCAATGTCCTGCTTTCCAGAGTTCACTCTTGGTATTGTACCTTGTATGAGTTTAGATGAATGTATGATAACATATATCATCACTATAATGTCATAACAGAATATTTTCTCTGGCTTAAAAGTCCTCTGTGTTCCACCTATTCATCCTCTCCTCCCCCTAAACTCTGGCACAAAACATTTTACTGTCTCCATAGTTTTGTCTTCTCTCGAATGTCATACAGTTGGAGTCATACAGTATGCAGCCTTTTCAGATTAGCTTCTTTCGTTTAGTCATAGGCATTTAAGATTCTTCCGTGTCTTTTCATGGAAATTACTAGCTAATTTCTTTTTAGTGTTGAATAATATTCCGTTGTCTAGATGTACCAGTTTCTTTATGCATTCACTAACTGAAGGACATTTGTTGGCTTCCACATTTTGGCAATTATAAATAAAGCTGCTATAAACATCCATGTCTAGGTTTTTGAGGGGGCAAAAGTTGCACTTCCTTTGGATAAATACAAAAGAACATGATGCTGGATGGCACGCATAAAATATGTTTAGTTTTATAAGAAATTGCCAGACTGTCTTTTGAAGTGTCTGTACCATTTTTTAGTCCCACCAGCCGTGAATGACAGCTCAGTTGCTCCACACCCTCACCAGCATTAAGTATCGTCAGTGTCCTGGGTTTGGCCATTCCAACACATGTGTAGTGTTACCTCATTGTTTTAACATTCTTGTTTTTAAGTCATATCTGGAAAATGAAAAATGCCAAGGCATTTTGTTACCAGGTCATAGGATGCTTTATTTTTGGTAGCGGGAAGAATATTTTTTTACTTGTCGTCTTTCTCTTTTGTTGGATTTATCACTTGTGGTTAGAGTCACTGTCTTTGTATATTTGCAATTATAATTCCCATTAAATGTTTCTTTTCTACATACATTTCCATCTGGGTATCTTTCTTGACTTCTAAGACTCTCAGAAAGTCTTGAAATGCTCAATCTCTTGTTTGTTTTTCTAATCCCTTTCTATTATTCTTTCTTGTTAAATTTTAGTAGCAGCTTTTTTGTTCTAACTTCTTAAATTTAATGAAACAGCATTCCCTCTATTGCTGGAACACACACAGAGAAATAAACACTAATAAAGAAGCAGAGGGAGACCTACGTACAGTGATGTGCCAGTATGTATCTTATATGCATGTGTTATATGTATTTCAAACGTTTTAAGCCAAATATAAGGATGTTGTTAGTATGTTATGTTGATGAAATGTCTGTTTTCATAGATGGTACACTGATAACTTATGGTCATGGTAAACTGACATACAGATGATTTGAGCAAACTCTTCCAGTGTTCATGAGATCTTGGTCAGTCTGAGATGGCGAGCACTGGTACCTAGTTATTCCAAATCCTCAAACCCATGCTTATCCAAGCTGTAATTTACACATGAAAATCAGAATAAAGGAAAGTGACTGAGGGCTAGTAGATAAACTACACGTACCATCCAATAAATTCTATCTTCTACATTGAAGTTTCTCAACAGCTGGGGGAATGTCGCTTCACGGCTAGTACCTGGGAGTCCGAGAAACCTGTTTGAATCACATTTGCCCTATCACCCCAGGAGCTGTGTGTGACATCTGATAGCGGTTTCCCCTTCTGTACCGTATCATTTCTAACTCATGACAACCACATTCCTTCCGAGAGTACTGAAAAAATTAATGAAATGCTTTTTAACAGTGCTCTTGGGTCTGTAAGTGAAAGGGATTATGCAAGTACAAGTGATAAATTACTCTATTTTCAAATAGAAAGATTTGAATTTGAATTTACTCCATGCTTTTTTTTCCCTTTCAAATTGCCTGTTGAGCAGTGAACAGGTCCAAGTGAGTAATGATTTGGGTGTTGTGATTCTTGACTGAATACTATCAAAAGGCTGTTGTCTTTTATTTAGCACACTTGGTGTGACATTTGATTTAAGAGAACTTTCAAAATAGAGAACAGTAAAATGGCAATGATTTTAAGCATAGGGTACTACTAATAAGTATGGTCTAATACAGATTAAGACAACCCTCCTTTATTATTGATTTACTTGATAGCTTTTTATTTTTCAAAATTTATGGCTTTAAATTATAGGCAATGTGTCAAAGAATGCTTTCCCAGTATGAACTTGGAAACACTCTATTTATGGGCTCCCCAAATGGACTTTTGTACAAAAATACAGTTCTAGTACTATATATTTTTTTTCAAATATAAAGGAGGTTTTTAGTATATGTGCTGCTGAAGCGAGCACTATAAAGGAGGTTTTTAAGTGGCAAGTGAAAAAAAAATTCCATAGTTGTTTTATTCATGTTTTGTATCCCTGCTATAGATGAATTTTTTAATTAAGTCAATGGTCATAAAAAAACAAATTAAATGTTATGCTCAAGTGTTGCTAAAACACACAAGCATGAGGATACATATGGGAAAATATTGATTACTGATTAATGGAGGGTTGATATATAAGCAATGATGATGTCAGGGAAATGGAAAATTCCAGACTATTAGGGTCCCATGGCTATGATGTTCCCGAGGAGTTATGTTGATGTCCTGGCTTTTGTTCAGCTTGGAAATCTCATGGTGATACTAAAGCAAGAATTTACACCTTAATATTTAACAACAAAAAACTATTTTTGATAAAATTACCAGACATTAAACTCAAAATATGAATTAAACTCAAAAACATGAATCAGAATGAAATTTAATGTTGAAATATATCTGCTTTTTAGCAAAGCAGCTGATAGAGTAAATCAGACAGTGATATGGAATAGCCAAGGACACTGAACCTAATACTTTGCTGAACAAGTGTTAGTCAACTGTTACGTCTTTTACATCACTCCAGACACGGCTGAAAGTGTTCTCCAGTTCAGTTATGGCTATTTTTTTCTCAGTTTCATGTGAAGTCTTGATGGAAGCATTAAGCAAATAAAATCCATACCATTCAGCAACTTTTTAATGAGTGTGAGATTTTTTTCCCCTTAATTTAACAATTTAATGCTGCTAAATATAGCTACTCTTTTTAGAGTAATACAATTTAAGTACAATATAACTTAATCTTATGAACTAAGTATCTACAATATCCTTCACAAAATTATCAGACAATAAATCTTTCTTAAATTTATTTAAAAATTTACAGTTTTCTGGAATTATTATAATCCAAATCTAGAGAATAACATGATTTTTTTTTTTTTACTTTTAGAAAAAACTGTTCTAGTAACTTGATGTTAATATAGACTCCTAAGTTAAAACAGCTAGGATTTTTTATTTTATATGCTTATTGATTCTTTAAATTCCTTTGTTTGTTTCCCAAATGATTTTTAAGAACATTTCATACAATTATTAAAAAATTATGCCATTTTAAAATTCTGCTTAAAAATCACATTCAGCATTACTTATTACAATAAAATTTGAACAATGTAACCCTTGTTGCTATCATAAATATATCCATATTATCATTTCATCTCTGGAACTCCCTTGTGCAGAATGTGACCTGATTACTGCTATAGACAGACTTTTGGATTTCATTTAGCTAATGCTGCCCTTTAACCCTTGGGATACATGAAAGATAATTTATCACATCTGTTCCCTTTTGCTATACATCTTTTGGCAAGAATGGAGGTATACACCATAAATCTCTTTGGTTATCTATCAATTTTATTTCATGAGGAAAAAAAAGTGTTGGAAAGGATTAGGAAAATATAGTAACACTTAGCAAAAGTGAAGAACTTGTGGGCCTAGATTAGGAAATATCACAAAAAAATATGACAGACCTGCCCATCACAGTCTCTAAGAGACACTTCCAGATGCAGACCTTTGTAAAATGGTGTGATTTTCAGTGATAGCCAGGCCTCTTAGTACACACAAAAAAGAAAATTTTAGAAGTCCCTGTCCCTAACCTTTAGGGAAAATTGAAAACACAAAGAAACACATGCCTATCCATATTGGATATCAAGGTGGTTTATAAGAGAAAAGAGCAAGTCATCTAGGGCAGCCACACAAACTATACACAGCACATTTATAGGCCTCCTTTGGGTAAGAAAGCATCTACTCTTTTAAGTAACATCTATGAAAAAGTTTAGAAAAGCAACACCACCAAATATAAATTCTCTGTTCTTAACATGTAAAAGAATTATAACATTTCAGTATGTATAGTTTTAATTCTTAGTTTTCTCTAAAACAAGGAAGTTTTCATTTTATCTTAGTTATTTATTTAAATCAAATAGTATACTGCATGTTAAGTAAAATGTATGTTAAGTAAAAACCACTTTTTGAGTCTCAAAGTGCTTTCCAAAAATATTTAATATGAAAATATATCTATTTCTGTTCAAGAAATGCAAACAGGTAAGCATGTGTTTTAATCTGTTAATTGGTAGCTAGAAATCCTAGAGTAAAAAATATGACTGAAAAGGTAAATTACAGGAATTTAAATATTTTAATTCAGAAGATTCAAAAGAAATTAATAGTCGCTTTCAACAGTTGTAATTCTTGCCTGCATGCCTAGGCGTCTGGATTCCAATGCTCTAGTTTGTGACTGTGATTTAATGTGGCTGGGGGAACTTATGCAAGGCTATGCCCGAAATGGCCAAACTCAGGCTGCTGCTACATGTGAATATCCCAGAAGGCTCCAGGGACGCTCCATCGCTTCGTTACCAGTAGAGGAATTCAACTGTGGTATGCAATTTTCTCTGTGTGTATAAAATGGAAATGTCTTTTGTTTGCCCCCTTTCTATAAAAGTTTGTTATATGATGTTGCATTTGGAAGAACATAATATCAGAAAATGTTATCAAGTTATTTAGTTAAAAGTATGGTCAATTTCCTTTTCAGCTTCTGCATTTTGATTTAAGGAAGTTTTTATCATTATAAACAGAGCTGGGACAGTCCTTGAGGATCATTTAATCCAACTTTCAAATTTCAAAGGAGAAATATTAAAGAAAACTATTTTCAGCAAGGTCATAGGACACTGTGACCAGCATTAAAGTTTCCACTTAAACCAGTATTACTTAAGTGTTAATAATCAATAATTGAGGTTTTTCAACTTTAGATCAAATAATTATTAATATTCATAATAGTAATGCAAACTTTGGATTTGGTAAGCATAGTTCATATTCTAACAACTTCAATAATTCTCTCAGGCTTTATTTGAAGATCCAAGTATAGCTTCTTAGGAACTTTTTTGGTTTTCGGGGCGCCTAGGTGGCTCAGTCAGTGCCTTCCGCTCAGGTCATGATCCCAGGGTCCTGGAATTGAGCCCCATGTCGAGTTCCCTGCTTAGTGGAGAGCCGGCTTTTCCCTCTCTCTCTGCTGCTCCCCCTGCTTTTGCTCTGTCTCTCTCTCTCTCTGTCAAATAAATAAATAAATAAAATATTTTTTAAAAAAGAAATTATTTTATGCTCACTTCAAGCTTTTAATATAAAGGAATATCTACTTGTATATCTAATCTATTTTTATATATAGCTTTAAATATGAATAAATGAATATACTTACATACGTATGCATGTGTGTGATAATTGGGCTCCTTGAAAATTTACTCAGGTGATAGCTTACAGCAGAAATTTGTTTTCTAATGCCCCATTCACTGGAGGCCAATATTTGAATTTCTCTAAGCAGGTCATTTGAAAATTATATTAATATAATTTAATTCCATCCAGATGGAGAAGCAAAGTGACTTGGTCTTTATTTCCAAATAAATCTCAAATTTGTCCATACCTTCCATCTTTACTATCAACTTGGAGTTTATGTCATAGTCAAGTTTGCTGGGAATACAGAACATCTTAACTGCTGCCCCAGCTTTCATTTTCTTCCCTCTCCAATCTATTATATTTAGGGAGATCTTTTAAAACACAGATCTGATTATATAATTCTTTTGCTCTCTTTTATAGCTTCCCATGCCTTCAAATGAAACACCAAATCCTTAACAAGGTCACACTTTCTATATGTTGTAGCCCTTGGCTACTCTGTAACCTTGATTCATTCTGCCCCTGCTTCTGCCCAGTGATGTTTAGCCATCATGATGTTCTTTCAGTTCCTAGAAGTTCTTAAGATTTTTTCCAACTCAAGGACTGGCTATACGCTATTTACTCTGCCTACAGTATTCTTCTTGCCTCTCTTCTTTTAAGAGCCCTCTTCTAAATATTAATTACTTGGAAATGCTTTTTTTAATTTTGCTCTCTACCCACCTTTTCCCTACCACACACACGCTGAGTCAGGTCCCTTTTTATAATCTATCAAATAACCATTTACTTTTCTTAGCACTTATTACAACATTTTATTATACATTTTTGTGTTTGTTTACTTTCAGTTGCTTCAATGAAACTATAAGCCCATGAGTACAGAGACTTTTTTTTTTTTTAAGATTTTATTTATTTATTTGAGAGAGAGAGAGAATGAGACAGAGAGCACGAGAGGGAAGAGGGCAGGGGGAGAAGCAGACCCCCCGCTGAGCAGGGAGCCCGATGCGGGACTCGATCCTGGGACTCCGGGATCATGACCTGAGCCGAAGGCAGTCGCTTAACCGACTGAGCCACCCAGGCGCCCACAGAGACTTTGTTTTGATCACTGTTTTGTCACTGTCTTAGCACTGTGCCTGACACACTGTAATGTTGAATTTTTTTTAAAGTAAAAATGTAAATGAATCAAACAATTTTTCTAAAAAGGGTAAGGCCAAGATGTTGGTCACATGGACTTTTGATGAAGTGGTTAAAATTAATAGAGATCTATGCAACATTCTCCAGACATGTTAGATCTGGTTATTTATTAATGATCGAAAGTCTCAAATGATGCACTTATTAAAGAAAGAGTTTTATCATTTAGAAAGGTTTAAAAAATTACATTAAGTTTGCTGTAGAAAGGCAAAATTCCCTTTTTTACATTGTTCTCTATAATTTAAATTCAATAATATTATCTGGTTCATTAAATATCAATCACTCCACTTCTTTATTAAAATAATTTAAATGTTTCCATGTTTTACCACTAATTATTATTTGAGAACAGAAACATTCATTTATATTAATAAGTAATTTTGCTCAACCAGGTTTGAGGTCTAGACATACAAATTCTTATAAATTTTATAAAGTGGGTAGTTAGATGGCTAATTGTCTAGAAGAATGCCTACAAAATTGCAAGCTCAACTGAAGTACTTGGCTTGAAATATTGACCCATAAAATCAAACTCCTTCCAGAAATATGGCTGTAAAAGGCACAGGGAAATTTATTTAATTTACTTCATTGGAGATTCCTTTATGCAGTGTATCAAACTTCTAAAGTTTTGTTAAATATATGTCTAACATTGAAACTGGTATGTTACTGGGTAAAAGCCATACAATTTGTAAAACTTTAATGTAGAGGGATTAAAATTATCTGTAGTCCTTTGTCAATAATATCTTAGAGTACTGTAATTTTGTATCTTTAAAAGTATACCAATAATTCTTCTGTTACAGAGAGTCCTCGAATTACTTTTGAGCCCCAAGATGTGGAAGTAACATCAGGGAATACTGTCTACTTTACTTGCCGGGCTGAAGGAAACCCCAAACCAAAGATTATTTGGATACATAACAAGTAAATACTGAGCATGGGCATGTGTTGTATTCTCTTTCAAATTTCATTAATTCATTTATCTTGCTTCAAGTTTATCTAGAGATGAATTTTCCAAAATTGTCAGTATTTCTGGACATTTCATAAAAATGTCTTTTAACTTTCATCTTTTGACTTGCCCAAAGTATCTGGAAGACTTCTTAAAATTGTATATTTCCAGACATCAAAGACTGTGAAATTGAGTAAAGGAATTTTGTATTATTTCTAGAAGGAAATATTGGGATAATAACAAACTAGTATGTTTTAAAATCTGAACATAATTAGATATAACCTCACCTTAATTATTTTAGTTTCAACCTGGTATTTTACATTTGATGTTGTAAATTTCACATAGTAAATCAGTATAACATTATGTAAGTGAATTGGCAATAAAAGATATGCAAGATTACTTAAAATACTAGTCGTTTATTTTATTTTTATTGCACTATTTGATAAAACATGGTATCTACTAGTCTAAAAGGCTGTGAATGTAAAGTTGAATAGTAATAACAAACTTATAAAAAGTTAAAATAAAAGTTTAAAAGAGGAGTGGGAAATGAATTATATACTTGATACAATTCAGTGATAGTACTTGGACAATTATATTATCTTTAATTATGTTATTGGTAACCAGCATGGTTTGCATGTGTCTCTTCCATGACTCCACAAAATTTCATTGTTTGTTTTCTGTCATGTGTATAATCAACTCTAAATTTTAATGCTTTTCTTTGTAAAAGATTCTGATATAGTTTGTATCTTTTTTGTATATAATTTGTACTTGTAATTGTAGTAAGAAACCCAGGCATGTTTGTAAAATGTGTTTTTAATTCTAGCAAAAAAAACTAATAAGTATAGGTTAAAAATAGCTTGGAAAGAAGGCAATTATGAACACTATTAAATCTGGAATCTGGCCCAGGAGAAAGACTTCAACTGATAGAAGACATCAATTTATTTCCATCTGGAGATAGTTCAATGGTACTTGAGAAATAGAAATTGCTGCTTATAATGTCTTCCAACTGCTTGTTCTGCCTTCTTACAGTTTAAATTAAGTCATTATGTGTTCAGGTTATAAAGGTACTGACTAGTATTCAGAAAGGAACAAATAAAAAATCATATTGCTTGATGGAATGTATGACATACGGGTTTTAAATATGGTGACTAAGGAAACTAAGATGCATTTCAAAAGAAACAAAGAAATTGAAAAAGAAGGAATAAAATGAAGGAAAGGTGAAGCATAGGCAGAAGTTTCTGTTATAATATTAGCCATTTCATATAGAAAAAGAATAAAAATGAAAGGGAAGAATTTATACCAAGAAATGTTTAACATTAACAAGTCTTGCTGATTATTGGTCATAAAATATTTTTTAATAAAAAGATAATATATAGGGCACCTGGGTGGCTCAGTTGGTTAAGCGACTGCCTTCAGCTCAGGTCATGATCCTGGAGTCCCTGGATCAAGTCCCGCATCGGGCTCCCTGCTCAGCAGGGAGTCTGCTTCTCCCTCTGACCTTCCTCCCTCTCATGCTCTCTGTCTCTCATTCTCTCGCAAATAAATAAATAAAATCTTAAAAAAATAAAAATAAAAAAATAAAAAGATAATATATATACTGAAAGTGCATGAAATATACCCTATATTACAACAGGTAATTTGAAATAAACATCTCTTTAACATAAACTAAGCTAAGAAAAAAAATACTGCCAATTCATTAGAAGCAACCTAGGTATTCCTTCCTTAACATTCTCCTGTTTTCCTCCCCTGGAGATAACCTCTATCCTGACATTAGGGTCCATAGAACAGTGAGTTAAGAACTGATTAGACACAGCAAAGGGGGAATTAGAGAATTAGAGGGTATGTCTGTTGGAGTATATTAGCTATCAGGATGGTTAAGAAACATGGAAACTATAATCCAAAGGTCCAGGACATATCCAATAAAGAATTCCAGAAAGAGAAGTTAAAATAATGAGCTGGAGTCAATGTTTAGAGAAGTAACAATGAGAAAATTTCCAGAAATGAAAAAAGCATGAGATTTCAGATTAAGAAAGGTACTGATTCCCAACAAGGACTTAAAAAAGAAATCTGTATCTGGTGCATTATGATCAGAAAATTGAAAGAGATGGAGGAGGAGCAAGATGGCAGAGGAGTAGGAGACCAAAATGTTATCTGGTCCCACGAATTCAGCTAGATAGTTATCAAACCATTCTGAACACCTACAAACTCAACAGGAAATTGAAGAAAAGAATAGCAGCAACTCTCTGAACAGAAAAGCGTCCACTTTTTGGAAGGTAGGATGTGCGGAGAAGTGAATCTGAGGTGATATTTGAGAAGATAGACCGCGGGGGGAGGGAGCCTCTGTCAGCTGGCTACTGGCAAGTGATAGAGAGTGGAACACAAAATTGGAATATTTAGAAGTCTGCTCTGCTGAGGGATGACACTCCAGTGGCTAAGTGGGGGGTGGAACCCTCGCTGGGACAGTGTGGTCTCAGGACAATGAGGGTCACAGAAAGACCAGGGGTGACTGAGTGTAGCACAGCTCCCAGGTATTGGAGCAGGGAAGCCAGCTCCAGAGACGAGGAGTGGGGTCTCAGACCTGGGTTGCCATAAACCATGATCTACGGCACAGGCCACTGCTCTTTGGGGAGGGACACAACAAGTGGCAGATCCGGGGAGACTCCCCTTCCTCCCCCGGGAGGAGCAGCATGGGAGTGCACCGTAGGGATCTGCAGGGTTTGGAGACTCCAAACAGGGTCGAGTGCCAGAGATAGAAATGCTTAGTCACAGGCCAGGTGAGCATGGAGTGTGGCCAGAAATGGGGGAGACAGGAGTGATTGACTGCTTTTCTCTGGGGGCTCGCTGAGGAGTAGGGCCCCAAGTTCTCGGCTCCTCTGGGGTGGAGATTGGGAGGCGGCCATTTTCACTCTCATCCTCCAAAGCTGTATGGAAAGCTTGCAGGGAACAAAAGCTACCGAGAGCAAACATGAGCAGTGTTTAGCCTGGCCCCGGCAAGGGCAGGGCAATTTTGCCTCAGGCAAAGACATTTCAGAACCACTGCGACAGACCCCTCCCCCAGAAGATCAGCAAGAACAGCCAATCAAGACCAAGTTTACTAATCAATGAGAATGGCAGAACTCCAGCACTAGGGGAATACAGCACATAGAGTTCATGGCTTTTTCCCCCCTGATTCTTTAGTCTTTCAAAGTTAAATTTTTTAATTTTCTTTTTCTATTTTTTTTTTGAATTTTTCTTTTTCCCTTTCTCAACCAACATCTTAGCAATCACTTTTTAAAAAATCTTTTTTATTTTTCATTTTTAGAGTCATATTCTATCCCTTCATAGTAGTTAACCTTATTTTTGATATATATATATATAAAAGTTGTTCTTTCTTTAAAATTTTGGGATACAGTTTCTTCTAACAGATCAAAATATATCATGAATCTCTAGTGTATGGCTTTGTTCTAGTCCCTGCCTGATCCTATTCCCTCTCTTTTTTTTTTTTTTAAATTTCTCTTCTTTTTTCAAACAACTTCTTATCTTATCAATTCCTTTTATAAAATCTTATATAATTTTCATTCTTATAGTCATATTCCATCCCTTCATCATATTTACCCTTACTTTTGTACATATATAAGTTTTTCTTTCTTTAAAATTTTGGGAGGCAATTTCTTAGACCAAAATAAACCCAAAATCTAGTGTGTGGCACTGATCTATGCATCAGCCTGATCATATTTGATCATATTCTCCTTTTTTAATCTTTTTCTTTTTTGTCCTTTCTTTCCCTTTATTTTTCCCCGGTTTCAGATCTCTTTTGAATTGTTTAGTTTCTGGGGTCATTGTTACCCTGTTAGTATTTTGTTCTCTCATTCATCTATTCTCCTCTGGACAAAAGGACAAGATGGAAAAAGTCACCTCAAAAAAAAGAACAAGAGGCAGTACCAACTGCCAGGGACCTAATCAATATGGACATTAGTACGATGTTGGACCTAGAGTTCAGAATGACAACTATAAAGATAGTAACTGGGCTTAAAAAAAGCAGAGATGATACTAGAGAAACACTTTCTGGAGAAATAAAAGAACTAAAATCTAACCAAGTCAAAATCAAAAAGGCAATTAATGAGGTGCAATAAAAAATGGAGGCTCTAACTGCTAGGATAAAAGAGGCAGAAGAGAGAATCAGTGATATAGAAGACCAAATGGTGGAGAATAAAGAAGCTGAGAAAAAGAGAGATGAACAACTACTGGATCATGAGGGCAGAATTCTAGAGATAAATGATACCATAAGAAGAAACGATATTAGAATAATTGGGATCCCAGAAGAAGAAGAGAGAGAGAGAGGGGCAGAAGGTATACTGGAGAAAATTATAGAGGAGAACTTCCCTAATTTGGGAAAGGAGACAGGCATCAAAATCCAGAAGGCACAGAGAAGCCCCCTCAAAATCAATAAAAATAGGTCAACAACCCAACATCTAATAGTAAAACTTATGAGTCTCAGAGACAAAGAGAAAATCCTGAAAGCAGCTTGGAACAAGAGGTCTGTAACCTACAATGGTAGAAACATTAGATTGGCAACAGACTTAGCCACAGAGACCTGGCAGGCCAGAAAGGACTGGCATGAGATATTCAGAGCACTAAATGAAAAAAAATATGCAGCCAAGAATACTATATCCAGCTAGGCTGTCATTGAATATAGAAGGAAAGATCAAAAGCTTCCAGGACAAACAAAAAGTAGAGAATTTGCAAACACGAAATGAGCCCTACAAGAAATATTGAAAGGGGTCCTCCAAGCAAAGAGAGAGCCTAAAAATAACATAGACCAGAAAAGAACACAGAAAATATACAGTAACAGTCAACTTATAGACAATACAATGGCACTAAATGCATATCTTCTGATAGTTACCCTGAATGTAAATGGGTTAAGTGCCCCAATCAAAAGACACAGGCTATCAGATTGGATTAAAAAACAAGACCCATTGATATGCTGTCAGCAAGA